CACTATAGCTCCAAAGTCTTTCCTGTCTGGGAAGAGCCCCAAATCCTGGGATTTACTAGTGACCTTGCCAACTGATTTCCCAGAATTAGCTCCTGAACAGTCTCAGGCAGGGCATGCAAAGCCAGACCATGAGCAAGGGATTCTGTTCTACTTTTCTTCTCCTGAAAGTCCTCATACAATGGCAATAATATTGTCCTTTCATTATACAGATAAGTTTGTGCTTGTGACTTAGTTTTTAAAGACTAAACAATATATTGTTAAGGTATATATACATGGGGTATGAAACTATGAAAAAAACCAAAAGGAATGATTACTATAAAAGCCAAGATAGTGGTTCAAGCAGGGAAGAGGTTGTGATGGGAAGATGCATGGGGGAGAGGGGAAGGGTGTTTGAAGGCACTAGTAACATTCCATTTTGTAACCTGAACAATAGGTTCATGGTTGTTCGTTTTATTATTATTCTTTATGTACACATACATTGCAAACTCCTCCAATATATATAATTCCAAGTTTCAAAATATTTTAATGGTTAAGCATAAGTTCCTAAAATATTGCTAATCAAGGGAGGCCTTATTTTTTTATGTACCTGTACAAATAAATTATTGATATACATAAAGAAAAAGAACATTTGCATCTCAAACACGATGGCAAATATGGACTGTTTAATTATAATTTTTATCTCATTGAAATAAATTTAGAACACTTTAAGTTGCCACAAATAAACTTTGGAATTGCACATGTGATATAAAATTTTCACCCCGAGAGGTTTACTGACAAAAATATATCACGTCTCAGGAAATCTTTAATAAATGGGATAAACTTTCCATATCTCAGGCCTGGAAGCTTTGTTATATTTATAATGAATTGTGCAGTGTACCCAAGATATGTAGGAAAATTATTAACAAGAAAAACAAATAATTTTAAAAAGAAAATGGTAAGAAAAGTGAAGGCCAAGAAAAAAATTTTGTCATTATGAATCTCCCCCTGCATAACAAATGTATCCTAATAAAAATTATAATAAAAACCTAAAAAAGGAAAAAAGTTTACACACTCACACAACACATACAGAGCTAGCTGATAAACTGTGTGTATTACTACTCATAAATTCCACATTTGTGAATTTGCCTACTTACTAAAATTTGCCTATAACCTTAAAACTGATACTCATGGCACTTTTACAGTTATTTATGGATAAGCATATAGTGAGAAAAATTTGAGACACCCTGATGTTCATGTTGATATCTGAGGTTGGACAAGGTGATATTCTGCCTTCTTTTTCCAGCTATCACACTATAAACAAATGATCTTTGTGAAGTCTATTTTCCCCCATTTTGTGCTTTTGGTTTGTGATTTCTCTGTTTAAGATTATCCCAAACACACTGCTGAAGCTCCGTCTAGTGCCCCTAAGCACAAGAAAGCTGTGATGTGCCTAATGGAGAAAATATGTGTGTTAGATGAGCTTCATTCAGGCATGAGATATAGAATTGTTGGTCATGGGTTCAATATTAATCAAATACATATATGTATGCATACAAATATATAATAGTGTCTTTAAAGAGAAACGCACATAAAAACAAGGTTGTATATTGACTGACTAATGAAAATGTGACCACAGGCTGGAAAGAACTTAACCCTGCAATTTCCCTAGAAAGAATGGTTCAGTATTTGCTCTTTCAGTGTTTTGGTAACTTTAGAGAACATAACTTCCATAAAAAAGAAGGAATCAA